CATTAATTAAAGCAATAAATCATGTGGTAGCAATGAATTAAGATGTAAGCTGCACAAGGGCAGGGACTCGGTTCACTGTCACACACTCCCTGCCTAGAACAGTATCTGGTAGATAGCAGGTGCTCCTGAGTCATACATAAATAAAAACATCTCAAAACCACATGATAAACTTAGAATGAAATCGGGTTTCTTATTCAAGATCCTTAGTGATCATAAAGCCATTCATTAGTTGTAAACACATTTCTTGGCATCATCACCAAGTGATGGACCAGCCCCTTGTGACAGCTGAGTCACGCACTGGGCATACAGTGGTAAACAAATCAGACTTGGCTGCTGCCCTCAGGGAGCCTATGAGAGACACATATCAAACAGATAACAGACAAATGTATAACTAAAATTGTGATTACTGCTATCAAGGGACAGAACAAGGTATTACGTGAGAGGCTAGCAGGGAAGGTGGAGAGAGGGCAGTCAGGCAGAAGAACAGTGCAGGAACACGGTCCAGGAGAAGAAATGGCTTGTGGGAAGGCCAGGGAAAAGCACAGAACTTGGAAATTCTCAGGAACTGAAAGCAGCAGCATGGTGAGAAAAGGAGACAGCCAAACAGGAAAATCACACGGGGCCTCATAAGCTTAGGAATTTTTTCTTTATCCCAAAAACAAAAGAAGCTGCTGGAGAGAAAAGGAGATGGGGAGGGCTGATAACCCTATTCGTGTTTTTGGTAGAGCATATTGGCTGCTCTGTGGAGTGGGGTCATGAGTGCAAGTGGGAGATCTGTTAGGTGGCCACAGCAGTTGTCCAGAAGTGAGGGGATGGCTGGATGAGGGTGGTGGCACTGGAGAAGGAAAAAAGTACAAATATTTCAGACAGATTTTGGAGGCAGACTCAGTAAGACTTGGGAACTGATGGGATCTCAGTGAAGCATGAAGCAAGTCATTGGCCGAGGCTGGGAGAAGGGCAAGGGCAGGTGTGCAGAGTGAGAAGGTACGAACACTGTAGCGTGGGAGTGAGCGCACCAGAGAAAAGGGAGTGCTGCCCGTGTGCGCTGGCAAACATTTACAGTGCGACCACTACACCTGGGAGGGCGACTGTTTTCTTCAGGAATACTTAGCCATGAGTGCAGGTCCAAAGAAAGTAGACAGCTGCAGTTTCATCATAGAAGATAAAAGGGCAAAGGATTTGAGGATATTTGGAAAAAAATAATGGTGGTAATAGTAGACCATGGAATTTAAGTTGGACAAGGAAGAAAGTAGAGACAAAAGCGTAACAGACAGAAAAGGTGGGGCTGATGCACTGGAATTATCAGTAAGGTTGAAAAACTATCAGCATGAGGGTGCTGACAGGATATGAGGTTATGATCAGAGTGGGATGTTCCAGTTTGTGACTTCAGAGGTGGTTGGTACAATTTCTGAACTGAACAAAGTCTGGGGCGTGACAATGGGAGTAGATGGCTGAGGGGGCTTGGATAAGTTCAAAGAGGCCTGACATTAGAAAAATGAGGAGTTGAAAGTAATATTCCACAGATGTGTCCAACTGGGCAAGGGGTTCTGAAGGAGGCAAACTCATCCCAATAGCATTTAAGTACCACCTAACCGACTCTGAAGTTACTCCTTACATCCCAATTCTCTACTTTCCATCTATCATGGCGCCCTTGTCTCGGGCCCTTGATTTGATGACATGGATCCAGGTTTTTCTAGGTCAGGTCCACCTCTGGGCCAGCAATGCAGCCAGAAGTGATTGTGGATCGCACTCCTCTCAGCTGGCCTGACTGCCAGGAGCAGGACTCTGACAGCAGGGACTCACATGTCTCTTTCCTGGTCTTGCCCACCTTTTTCTCTAACTCTTGGAGTTGGGTCAGGATTCTCTCCTTCTCTTCATCAGCTTCCTGAAGCTGGAGATCTGTAAGGCCTTGGATTTCCTCCATACTTTTTAGATTTTCTTGTAAATAGTGAATTTCATTCTCCAACTGCTGAATTCTTGCTTCATGTTGCCTCTTGTCGAAATTAATCTGTGAGCAAATCAAGTTTCAAAGATGATTTTTAAGCAAAATATGTTTTGAGCCAAATAAAAACCTTCTAGGAAATTATATTTCATTTTACTAGAGAGTATGAGGAAATGTTGTACTAATGAGTTACTGGGCATGGTTTTATCACAACTGTTCTCTAGGATGCATTTAAATATTTGCCTCATCACTAAAATAATTACATCAAAAAATCAGAGTCTGGCTCCACATTACACTCTAGCAATGTGGCATTATTTACCTGTTAAGAAACATCTCACTTGCTCCTAAAACAAGGACAACACAGTGTCTCAAAGAAGCCTGACTTTGACATCAGTAATCATATTCAGGGTTGAATTTAAGTCACACCTATTTGACTTGTTAGGAATGAAAATAACAATACACTGTATTTACACGAGAAAGGAAGCACTGTAATTTGCTGGGAAATACGGATATTTTCTAAACACTTCCCTCCAGCTGCCTCTTGCCCTTCTCTTACTCTTGCTTCGAGGGCTCTCTCGCAGGCCTGCCGGAACTCTTCTTGTCCGCTTGCCAGTCTCTCTTGATGCAGAGCCACTTCTTCTTGGAGTTTTCTCTCTCTCCCTTGAGCTTCGTCTCTTTCCCACTGGGAGTGTGCAAGGATTTCACTGAACTGCTTCTGCAAATCAGCAAGACTTTTCCCTAAGACATCTGAAGGACTAGGTATGCTGGTAAGGGGGGAAAAAAAGATGAAAGAAATGTGACTTTTTTAATTAAAACCTTTTTTTTACTTACTCAGTTGTTTTTATCTCACTTCTTATACTTGCACATTCTACCAAAACTTTCTACCTTTGACTTGGCAGGACTGAAAGGAAAAGGAACTGTGACTTGCTCTATCTTCCTTTTCCTTAATGTTGTCACTTTAAGTGTAAGTGCCTGTATAGGGAGTGACATTTTATTTTTGATGCTGGATGTTGGGTGCACACATGCCAGTAACACTGGGGCAGGAGTAAAAATTTTTGAGTTGTGTGGAATGGGACTGGTGTCATCTATAGCAAATTACTGCTCATCTGGGTGTAAATCATTGTTTTATCAAATGACTGACTGTTGCCACTCTAAAAGCACAGGCTCCTATCAGGCTAACAATATGTGTCCAAAGAATAAATGTCCATTTCATATATTGAAATTAGCCTCAATTATCTTTTGGTATTTGTTTTCTGTCTAAAATGCATAATGTGGCTCTACTCCCTGACCATATGCAATAAACTTTCAAGAAAGGGTTACTCTTAAAATGTTTATGGCTTTTAAATTAAATAATACTGAAAAGTATAAAAGATTAAAAAAAATCAGTGACCATTTGAATAAAGCAATCTGTGTCTCAATCATGGTAATATGACAAGGGGAAACCTTATAAAAGAAATCAGCCTTTAACGGTGGTTGGAGGGGGTGGGGGTAGGGCTCAGTGGTAAAATGTGTGCTTAGCACGTGCAAGGTCCTGGGTTCGATCCCTAGTACCTCCATTAAAAATAAAAACTTAAAAAACAAAAAAACAAAAAACAAAGAAAACCCAGTCGTTGGAAAGGTGATTTTGTCATTGAACCTCACATTTACAGCTTGGCCCACTCTACACCTGGAAGTCTTGATCTTCTATTACCTCATTTCCCCAGCTCCCAATTTCAGCTTTCTCCTTAGCTCATCCACACGAGCTGCCACTTCTTCTGGACGAATCAAGCCATCAACAACATGGTTAAGGTGATTCTGGAAATCTTTAAGTTGATGTTTTAACAGTTTATTGTCATCCTATGGAATAGGGTAAAATGGAGAGGGGCAAAAGTTACCAAAACAAAATTAAAATTACATCTCCATCCACAGCCTGTATTACTTATCATATGATAGCTCTATTCAACTCCTTTTATCAATTTTTAAAAGACCCTTTCCACTAGAGTTGACAATATCTGAATCTATTGATCAGACCAACCAGGCATTATGATGTTTCCCAATGTGATGCAGAAAGAAGTTCCTATGGACATTACTTATGAATGTCTTCTTGTCAAAAATCTAAATCTAAATCTGAATCTAAATAAGCCTCCATATGTGACATAAGAACATCAACACCATGGGGATGCAACCAGCAAAATCTAAACTATGGGAAACTCTACAGGACAAAGACCTAGTTTTCTTTAATGTGTAACAAAGGGGAAAAAAGCAAACCTATAGACTACCATAGTCTTAAGAATCAGGGGGGAGGGTGTTGCTCAGTGGTAGAGCGCGTGCTTAGCATGCACAAGGTCCTGGGTTCGATCCCCAGTACCTCCTTTAAAATAAAGTAAATAAATACAATAAACCTAATACCGCCCCCCACCGCAAAAAAAAAACCCCAAAGTATCAAGTCAACCAAATGCAATGTGTGCACCTTATTTGGATTCTGATTCCAACAAAACACGTGTAAAAAATTTATGAGGTAATCTGAAAAATTTGTATACTTAAGGTATTTGATATTAGGGAGTTATTATAATTTTAAGCTGTAACAATGGTATCTGCGCTTATGCTTCTTTTTTAAAACCCTTATTTTAGAGACACATACAATATAGTATAGTATTTACAGATAATATCAGATGTTTTGGATTTACTTCAAAATAATTCAGCTTGTGAATAGGTGTGAGGAGTGGGGTGTGGAGGGCATTACAGATGAAATAAGACTGGCCACGTGTTATAGATGAAATAAGAGAGGCCATGTGTTGGTAACTTGAAGATGGGTGAGATATACATGAGGATTCATTTTAGTATTCTATTTTTGTATATACTTGAGATGTACGTAATTCAAAGTTAAAAAAACAAAAAACACCTCATAATACTCAGCTTTGCCAATCAACTGAAAAATGGAGTATCTAATAATGAAGCTTCACTAATAGCTTATAATTCTCTGTGAGAGTATTTCTTATATGCTAGCGTATTTTCACTACTAACAAATTACAAACATATCTTGACCCCAGAATTAAATTCAGACAATGCCTCTTTCAAGTAAAAAGAAACAGCTAAAATTTTTCTAAATTGTATAGAAAAATAGTTCTATATCCTATTGATTTTATTCCCCGTGAATAAAATCTACTTGAGTGATTAATTTTCTTCAAACTCGGTATAACACTGTTAACTAAAATGGAGAATTCAGCACTGCAATGAACATGCCTGCCTCCTCTGAAGTCTTTTATCTGTAAACTGTCCCTGTCCTTTGCCCTGAGGCACCCATATTTGGTCACAGGTGATCCGACCCAAGGACAGCCAATCCAGTGTCTAGCCACAAAACGAGTTCTCACTCTCTCCAAAATTTGAGCCAAGATCCAGTACAGCAAGTTGGTATTATAAGAGCTAGAACTGTAAAGTTAGGTCAGATTGGGGCTGGGGTCAATGCTGTGCCAAACACAACGCCCAGAGAGACAAAGAAGGAGAAATGAGAGCTGAGAAGGCCCTGAAAGATGGACACTAGCAAGCTATCTGTCTCCTTCCTTGAGCTAGTGTTAGGTTTCAGTTCACTGCAACTAAATGACTCTGACAAAGACTAATTAGAGTTTAACTTGTACTCCTTATCAGAAGGTTAGTAAGCAAAGGACCTAGCTCTAACTGAGTCTCAAAGCATTCTGGAGAGCTGATCTCAGTTTCTACCTTGGAGAGAAGGCCCCTGAAGAATTTATTTTAGTCATTTTCTTTTAGAGATATATCCTGAAGTATTCATGGTTGAAATAAATATGGATGAGATTTTCTTTAAAATATTCCAGGAAAAAAAATGTGGACTAACTGAAACAAGAATGGCAGAATGGTGATAATTGTTTAAACTGTGTAAACAAAAGGGTTATTTTCTCTGTTTTTGTTACTATTTGAAAATTGCCGTAGGAAAAATAAAAAATAAAAATCCAATGAACACCCAACATACACACACACATACACACACACACACAACTCACACAAGAATGGAAAACATGTATAACTTTTATGATACTTGCTTCAGAAGCTGAAATGATTAAATTCTAGGTTATTAAATTTCCTTCAACTTTGAGGAAAAGATATTCAAGGCATTGGAAGATGAGAGAATTTAGTCCTATTTGTCAGAAGCCCCCCACTACATGACTTTTTGGAGCCTTCCCTCAAATCACAGCAACTCAGCTCCTTTATTCCTGGTGGAGTAGAGCAGCTGTCACCTCAGGCAGCCAAGTGGCCGCTGACCTCACAGATCTGGAGAGCTGCATGTTGATCCAGGTACCTGTTTGTTCAGACATCTGTCCTCTCTAAGAGAGTTTAATTACCTGGAAAATCCTGTCCACCTGCTTCTCCTGCAGTTTACTGGGCAGATTATTGTGATAATAGCTGTAAAAATATTCTGCCAAAGGAAACCCTGACAAATGTAAAATGACTGCATTTTTAATAATCCTTTTGAGAAGAGGATTGTGAAAACTTTACAATTCAGAAGTTCAACTGCAACTCACTCTAGTTAAACTCCTAAATCATTACAAAGATATTTCAGTGGAAGAAGAATGCATCAATCTGATAATTTTAGCTCAAACTGGTGACAAATCAACGTTTAGGGGAAATGCAAGGAATTGCTGTCACCATAAGTTTACACAGTGTTCTCTGTTTATTATGGACACTGCCTCCACCTCTTAGCACCATCATAACAACACAAAGGATGTGTATATTAATACTCTTAAAATGATGGGCTCACAAAGGAACAGGGGCTGCGCTACTGTCCCACCCAGAGTTCCTTTTTTCCAAAACATTCATGTTGCTTACTACTGCATGCAAGAGCAGGTTGTGAAGTGTTTTGACTAATAAGGATGGCAGCATCCTTGGGTGTCCTACGTAACGATGTACTGGGAACCAACAAGTCTCTACCTGCAGCTGTTTCAGTTGGGCGCGGAGCTCACTATTTTCTTGTTCCTTCTCTTCTGAGAGCTCGGCTTTTCCAAGGGCATTCTCGAGGGCTTGCTTTTCCTTCTCAAGTTCTGTTTGAAGAGCTGACTGTTCTAACTATTGCCATAGAAAACAAGGATATGAAAACATAAAACAGCAATGATTTATGATCTAAAAAGGCCTAAATAAATTTACATACACACGCAATCCCATGCTAGCTATGGTTTAACAGTAACTTAGTTTTATGTTATTAGAAGCCCAAGGTAATCTTTTCACATGCCTCCTTAAACAATTAATACTTAAGAAAAAGTAAGCATCAAAATTAGCTCAGCCCAGATATACCAAATCAGAATCTCCAGGGGTGAGCCCTTTAAAAGCTCTGTGAGTGATTTAATAATTACTGCTCTTTTCCCTTAGACCAACATTTCTCACACTGTGGTCCTCAAATACCTGGATCAAAATCACTTGGTGCGCCTGTTAAAAATGCAGATGCCCGGACTCCATCAGACTTGATGGGCTAGGATTTCTAGGATGAGGCCCAGGAATCTGCATTTAACAAGCACTGCAAATGACTTTATGTAACTAAAGTGTACCAATCAGAGATCTATAAATCAGAGAGAAGATTTGTTATGCTCCATACTCTCAATGTGTGGTTTGAAGATCAATCCTGGCAGTCTTGATGTCAAGGAGAATGTCCCTTTCAAGACCACACGAATTTGTGAAAAGGCCAGGTTGTTATAATATTTTTGTCAAGACTTATGAGAAAACAAATAAAAGACAATGGAAATACAAAGGATAATGGGTTTTAAGCTAGTAAGGGCTGGCTTAAAAACTCTTAAAAGAAGAAAAGTTATTTGAAAGGAGATGGCATCCAGATATTTTATTTACCATTATTTAAAAATATGTATTTACTGTTACTTTAATTGTTTTCACCTCAGCCTCCTGTTTCCTGTACTCTGATCATGTCAACTAATTTTATAAAACTTGGTACTCTTGAGAAATATAACCCTGACAATTGGCAAGTGGTCATTTGATATCTGATAAGTAAAGAAAAACGAAGTAACATAACTACTATAATAAGCCAGACCTACTTTTATTTCCTTTTCTAACCATATGAATGCTATTTTACATGAATTCCTGGGATTCAAATTATCTTATTTCACTTGCATCTAATTAGGACATATTGACCTTCCTCATGTGCCCGACATATAAAATCTGGGTATTCACTGTGCTCTGCATCTAGTGGGAGAGACGGACAGTCTAAACAGATGATTATCATATACACAATAAAATGCTTTGACTGAGCAGAGGTCAGCGGAAAACCAAAGAAGAATCCTGAACGTAGATTTTCAGTAGGCAGGAGAGGAAAGTTAGGATGGGCTTCCTGGAGGAGGATGCAGCCTATTTGGCCAATAGTTTAAAAAAAAAACAACCCTGTATTTTAATGTGATCAAGAATATACTATAATTGGCTTCTGT